CTGAACAGAATGAGGTATACGTGATTGCATTATTTGTCTGATATTGTTTATATCACCACAACCATTAAATTCCATTTGCCAGCTTTAGCTAAGCTTGTGGGAAGGATTTGCCTTGAATCATTTCAGGCCAAGAAGGCAACTGAAGACAGCTGTCGTATTTCCAAAAAAGGACCTATATAGAAGGACCTATGTATTAAGGCGCCTTCTAGGATGTACCTGTATTAAATGGGAACAAAAATACAGGGATCTGGGCAAACACATTGGATTGAGAGTAGCCAGAAGGGAGATGGAGTTTCTACTAAGACATTAATACAGGCAAGATAGTTACCCCTGGAGCAAATTCTTGAGAGGTGATCACCACCACATCTGCCTATCCTGTGCAGTGAGTGTGACCTGGTGGTTACTGATTGTGGCTCCAGTCCAGCGTTATGACAGGGCTCCTCCTTGTGCCCTACATAGATGTCTGTAGCTGTGGGGACTAAAATGTTGTGTTTGCTTTCTGTTCCAGTTTTTGGTGCTGCAGAAACGTCCAATGAGCTGAACCAGGCTAGTTCTGCCAGGACAGGCCAGTTCTGCAGGGCTCCATCATCCCCAGACCAGCAGCCACATTTGTAGGATGCCACAGCTTGGGCACCCAAAGTTTATTAGTCACCGTGAAAATCTTTACATTGATGGCTCAGTGCACACCTGCTCTATTCATCACCATGACAACTGTGTGCCCTTTCGGTATACGTCTTGTTATGCATTTCTGTGAATGTCTGTGGTGAGGGACAGGCATGTATTGAACACCATTAACAGCATGGGTTGTTCTAGGAAATGGGACAGGATGATCTCTAATCAAATATTTGCCACTTTTATGAACTTACTGTAATTCTTCAAGACTTCTGTCAGTCCTTTAATCCATTAACATGCATTCCTAGGAGTCTCTTATTGAAAGAACTTTGTGAAGGGAGTAAGGTCACAGAGGGATGATTTTCACATACTGATGCAAAAAAGATAACAGACAAGGGATGCATTTCAAAGTGGCAGGAAAGGCCACAGCTTTGTTGATTACTTCAGTAGGAGATGGGAGAACTTCTGTGTGTCTCAGCCTTCAGCTGGCTCCCTGACCTCTCATTGCTGCTGCTCTCGTCTGCACTTGGCTTTGGGTTCACTTATACAAGCTGACACCTCACAGAAGCTGCTACAGCAGTAATGTACCCATTGTCTGTACTTTTGGTAAGGTCCCTCTTTAGAAGTGGTGGTGAGCTGAATTCACACTTGTGGCGAGTTACCTCAGGGTACAGAGGGGAGGAAAAGAAGTTGGGGTTAAGATCAAATGGAGAATCTCAAGTTGCTGCTGTCTCCTCTGTGCCTACCTTGTAGATAACCCAAATACTTCAGTTCCCAGGGCTGGCCATCAGTTAACTTCCACTTAACCTTCACCAGCTCAACAATTAACACCACCTGCATTCTTTTTCCTTCCCAAAATAAATGCATTAAAAGCAAGAAAAACAGAAACCTGGTCTCATGAGACAGGATTTGTGTCACATGAGGTAGTCTTTCACAATCCCATCTGTAAAGGAACTCACAGAATCTCCATCACATTAATGAATTTAGCACTTGCCATGAGACCAGGGTATGGCTCTTTACCCCTTGAGATGTGCTGAATGCACAGTTACTGTTACAATTCACATCTTATTTTTTTCTTTTTCTCCCAGTTCTTTATATATATTCCCTTGGTTGAGGTGGGTGTCCTGAAGAGGGGACAGTCTCCATGGGGTAACACAGGGGTGAAATGGTTTCTTTGTGGTGACAGAGTAGTTCAGTGGGTGACTGAGGACCAAGACCCCAAGTGCCGTAATCTCACAGTATCAGCTGGGATATGAGGGTCTGCTTGGTTATGCATTTCAGACTGAAAACCAAGATATATACAATTGTAAACACATTCATGTTACATGAGAAAGCCAAGGGGAGCATAGGCACAGACCTGTGCATCATCCCACCTTTGCTCCCTTGGAAATACAGCTCCACCAGTGTAGATCGGTCCTGAATTCTTGACACCCAGCTAACACCTGGATTTCTGAGTCCCTGGGCATTTTCCATGCTGATTCAGAGTGTAGCAAGCTTGCTTCTTCAAAGGAGCTGCCCACAGTCATTCTAGGATGTAACACTTTCTAACCCAAGCAGAGAAAAAGGAAAGGATAGATTGAAGAGCTCCGACAGGCTCCTGCCTGCATCCTACAAGAGACCAAAGGAATATCTTCTCCTGTGGAGGTGACAGGAGGACTTTGGGAGTGTGTCTTCTCCACTGCATGGGTATGAAGAGGGGAGAAATCCTTTGACTGAGAGGTTCCTGTGGCCTTGGTCTCACTCAGCTGGAGCAGATTTGCACTGTAGATCTGATGCTGTTTGTCACCTTGAATGCCTGTCCCTGCAGCAGGGACATGTTCAGCCTTCCGCAGAGCATTTGCACCATGCTGAGGCATGGCAGCGCCTGAGTTCAGACCCCTGTGCCACTAGGCTTTGCTCATTGAGTCACATCTGGCCAAGTGGTTCTGGGGCAAAAAACCTACAGTGATTTCCAGGCTTCCAGAAGAGCCCGCTCCAGGAGTATGAGGCACAGGCAGTGTCAAATTAGCGAAGTCCTGGCTTTTCTTCTACAGAAGGCAGCAGCAGCTGTGATGGGTAATTATATTCCATGCAGAGAGATAACCTTTGGCTGGAGGTGTTTTGAACTGAGAGGAGAAAAGGGAGAAAAGAAAGAGCAGGAATAGGGTGGGGGCAAAAAAGGGAGATGGGGTAGTTTTTGGTGAAGTGCAAGTTTTTGGAGAGGAATCAAAACCTGGTGCTATTTTGATTTGGGGGATTGGGTTTTGTTTGTTTTTTTTTGTTGTTGTTGGTTTGTTGTTTTTTCTTTGTCAGTCTGGTCTTTATAAACAGCTGGCAGGACAAGAAGATCTCAGAGTCCCTCTTCCAACCACACATTCTGTGCTGTACTGGTCACAGAAGCGCTGCAAGTCCCTGCCAGGCTGCAGGCAGCTGCCAGCCTTGCAGCATCCCCAACTGCCTCTCCCCACCACCCGCCAGGCACAAGCTGGATGCAGAGAGGAGGGTGCTTAAGCTGTAAAACAGGGTCATGACCAGAGAGCAGTGAAACATGGGGTCAAGGATGTTTCTCCCACACCAGACATTTTCAGGCACCTAGTCATTCTGGCCTGGCACAACATGGGGCAGAGCAGCACAGTCCAACAGGGAGAGCAACAGAGGAACCAGCCATCTTCTGTGAGACACAGCTTTGGGACACATCCGTGTACCTCATTGCTTTTGGTTTTGCATCATCTGCCAGAGGTACCACACTGCCCCCCAGGGAAACAAAGGCACAGACCAAACAACACAACACACTTTCCAAATCTTCATTTAGACAGTTTGGCTTCAATTAAATGCAATTACTTATTTTTGCATCAAGGGCAACTTCTCTTGCATTTATTTGCTGTCCCCAGTGGCTTGTCTGAGGGAGAGAATTGCTCCATGAGGGTAGGTGCTAATGAAGGGGAGCTTCCAAATGAGTGTATGGGTTGCTGCATCTAGGTCAGAGGAGTCAGATGAAAGTATCTTCCATATTTCTGTCTCATTGGTTTTGTTGTTGTTTTTTTTTAATCTGGGCTTCTAATAAACATGTTAACTTTCCAAATTATTATAAGCAGCTGCAGTACACAAGTATATATTTACTGCATTTGAAAGCTCTCTAATGAAGCTTTGAAGTCCAGCTCATCCCAGATTCATGCAGAGAAGGAGCTGTAGCCATCATGGCACTCCTTTGCCGACTTCTGAAGATCTGAGGCTTGAAAGCAATTACTTCTTTGCAAATATGGGCAGGTGTGAGAGGCCTTTTTATAAGAAGTAAATAGATACTGAAATATGGATATTTGAGTGGATACTTCAGAACCTACAGCTGGCAGTCACAGTTTTGTTTGCGTATTGCAGGGGCTTTCTTACCAGCACTGTCCCTACACAGACCATATTTGCATTTGCATGTGCTACTTTTCATTTTAGTTTCCTCACACAGAGACCAAGAGTTTCCCTATCCTGCCTCAGTCTCATATTCAAGAAAACTGGATAAACAATAACAAAACAAAGCAAAAAAATCATGTAAGTAATGTGCATAAAATCATCAGAAAAGTTTTTATTCTCTGGACCTTTCTACAGCTTGAGGCTCACATTCCTTTTTTCTATAGAGGCCCGAGAGATGCTGCAAGGTGAAATAACAGCAGTATTAAATGGCATAGTGTCACAAAACAGTGGTTATTGCTGGGTTTTGAAATCACACATCCTTGCTATGGTTCTTCTTCATGGTGCTTCCAGTACACCCACACATATTAGACATATAAACACTCCAGGAAATGCTTGTGTTGCTATATGAAGCCACTCAACATAGCACATGGGGAACCTAATTGCACCCTCCAGCCACTCCTAGAAAACTAGTGATAAGCAAAGCTAAAAAATATTGAGCACATTTGGATTTTCCAGTCTCCAGAAGGGTATGTATGTCGATTAAATTTACAGCTGTGTAGTTTCCACTGAATTGCTGTTTCCTTTTAAGCTGTACTAAAGACAGCGATGGAGCAGGTATGAATGAGTAATGGGTAGGTAGGTATCATGTTATTTAGGTTCTTGCTTGTTTGCTTTCTTCTCTTTATTCAGTTTCTTTCCTTCTCTTGGTGTCAGAATATTCTTAGCTCTTCAAGGCTCTATCTTCTGCATCAAAAATAAAGGTGAAACCTACTTTTGATCTACACTTTTAAGAAAGTATGTGTGTATATATATGTAACCTATCTATGCAGTGGCATATATCTGAGGTTACTATGTCTTGATCAGCCTCATTTGAATTCACTGCAAGAACTGAAGATAGAAAGGAAGGAGAAATGGCTCTTATCTCAGTACTGTTTCCCTCTGTCCCAATGTTTTCCCTATGTGATGTCCTTTGAGTACTGACTCTGTTATGGGTTTATCCCCCATAGATCATCTTCCGGAAGATCAGTGATGTCAAGAAAGAAGAAGAGGAGCGCCTGCGCCAGAAGAACGAGGTGACGCTGAGCATCCCTGTGGATCACCCCGTGCGGAAACTCTTCCAGAAATTCAAACAGCAAAAGGAAATGCGTAATCAAGGCTCAACCCACATCGACCCAGAAAGGAATCAACTTCAGGTGGAAAGCCGGAGCGTGCAGAATGGGGCCTCCATCACAGGCACCAATGTGGTTACTGTGTCTCAGATCACCCCCATCCAGACATCCCTGGCTTATATGAAAACCAGTGAGGCCGTGAAGCAGAACAACAGGGATGCGATGGAGCTCAAGCCAAATGGAAATGGAGACCAAAAATGTCTCAAAGTAAACAGTCCCATGCGGATGAAAAATGGGAATGGGAAAGGGTGGCTTCGACTGAAGAACACAATGGGGACCCATGAGGAGAAGAAGGAGGACTGGAACAATGTCACGAAGGCTGAGTCCATGGGGTTGCTGTCCGAGGATCCCAAGTCCACTGACTCAGAGAATGGTGTAAATAAAAACCCACTGAGGAAAACAGACTCTTGTGACAGTGGAATAACAAAAAGTGACCTTCGCTTGGATAAAGCTGGTGAGACTCGCAGCCCCCTGGAGCACAGCCCCATCCAGGCTGATGCTAGGTATCCTTTCTACCCTATTCCTGAGCAGGCCTTACAAACCACGTTGCAGGAAGTCAAGCATGAACTCAAAGAAGATATCCAGCTGCTAAGCAGTAGGATGGCTGCCCTTGAGAAGCAGGTGGCAGAGATTTTAAAAATATTGTCTGAAAAGAACGTACCCCAGATCTCTTCCCCCACGTCTCATTTATCACCCCAGCACCCCCTCCAGATACCCCGTCAGGATATTTTTAGTGTTTCAAGGCCTGCCTCACCTGAATCAGAAAAAGATGAAATCCACTTTTAGCATATACCTATGTGTATATATGTATACAGTATATATGCAGAGGTGTATATATACCTTTATACATATATATGTGTGTGTGTATACAGTAAATATATATACATATATATTTTCACTTGCATCCAATATGACTTGAACACACCAAGGATTTTGATATGTAAATATTGCATGTCCAGCTGGATTCTGGCCTGCCAAAGAAACAATTATTAACATAGATATTGCTTGTATAATATGCAGTTGACTGCATGCACACTTTACATTTATTTATAATCTCTATTATGTAATAAAAGAATGACTTTTGTGTAACAAAGGCAATGTACTATTTAAAGAATCAGGGTCTAACCTGCCAATATTGCCATGACAGTTTTGATCTCAGGCTGGGTGAATTGAGCTTTTATTTCCTCACTGTACTTTCTGCCGAGTTAAACAGTAGATTAACATGATGTGGAGGAACTCCAATTAGCTCAGACTCCAATTAGTATTATTTTCTGTATCATTCCATTGCAATATACTGTATAGTTGGTGATAAATTCCCCTACTCCTCCTAAAAGGGAGGGCTTCGCTCAGTGGCCAAGGAAGGTCACCATGTCTGGTGCTGGGGGGATCACTGGAATTTATTTATGTGGGTATTGTGCATGCACAGCCTTTTATTTCAAGTATCTGCCTGCTCTTTAAACATCGTAAGTAAGGAATAATAATGGTGATTTATGTAACAAAATGAAACTAACACAAACTCTCTCAGCTGCACTCCCTGAGTGTTTGGAGGTAACTTTCTTGGAAGCCTCCTTTTACTCATGCCATTTTTACTGAACTGTTAGAGTAAAATCATGCAGATTTTCTTTGCAACACTCAGCGATGGTGTCCGGTTCTGTCAGTATCTTCAATAGGATATCCCATTTTTGTAGGGTTGAGCTGGCCCTGCAGAAAGATTTTGCACAAGGTCTGAGCAAGGGACAGAACAATTGTAGTTCAGCTCCTCAGCAGCTGTGTGGGCAGGTTTGAAAGTCTGAAGTTGAAAGGCTGCTGTTAATCCCCCTCCACTCTCTTTACTGAGGACGTTTGTCAGTCTGCAAACTGCCTTTGAGGACAAGAGAAAGTAACTGGTCAAGATGAAATTTGCTTTAGTCCAAGGCATCGGGATGAAAATATTTGGGTGGGGGAGTGGTGGGTGTGTTGGGAGATGAAGTTCTCCCTAGGGTGCTGCTCACTTCTCTTCCCTGGACTTGTGGAAGGTTTCAGTGCTTGGGGGGACACACTTCACAAGCAGGCCTGCAGTGCCCACACAGCCAGTTGTCACGTGTACCAAGTCCCTTAGGTCTGTCCTCTTAGCTGGCTCTGATCAGCATCTCGCAGTCTTGAACTATGCCCTATCTCCACCTCCTAGGCTGGAACGCTGTCCTCTATGCAGCGCTGCTGGTTTCACAGGGCTGCAGCAGGGCAGGCTCTTGCACTGGATCCTGTTTGTTCTCCTGTTTGGAGTTGACATTTTGAACTCTGGCTGGGTCTGCCCCTGAGTGTGGTGGGGTTTTTTTTGCCTCTCTGCACTGGTTTTGAATCCAGATACATGTGATGTACAACAGAAATGGCCATCACAGATTCAGAGCTGTTAACCTGTACAGCTTGAGGCCAGCCCAGCAGAGTGCAATGGCTCCTTAAAAGAAGGAAGTCCCCTCCACATTTAAATAGCCTCTTGTATCATGATCCCATGTTTTCAAAAGTGCCTGGACTGAAACGTATATGTACCAGAAAGTATCGCTATCAATCAGTTAAATAAAAGACATGCTTAGAATTAGTAGGCATCCTGACCAGACACCAATACCAGATCCATTACTTAACATTAAGAAACTAAACTGAACTGTTTCCTGAAAAAAAAAAAAAGAGGAAAAAAGCAGCAAACCCCCAAGCCCACCAAAGCAACAAACAGAACAAACCATTATTTGCAGTAGTGGCAATTAGGAACCTACATCTTAGGGTGAACATACACACTTCTGCTGTGAAATCCCAAATCGCTAAACCTCCAAAAGTTCATAAGAAAGCTGAAGAAGTCATTGCTTCTGTTGTGTCAATTCATGGAGGCTTTTGGGGAGATGATGGTCTTTCTCATTTGCTGTTTCTTTCTGTCCTGTTTCTCCCCCTTCTTCAATTCTTTTCTTTAGGAAATTATAACCAAAAAAAGGGGAAGAATAAAATGCCACCAAAATGGACAACTCTTCCCAAGTCTAGTGGTTAGGCTGCCTGCTCTTTATAGTTTTCTACAGTTGCAGTTGCCATTGTCAAAACTTTCAACTGTATTTTGCAGCTGCTTTTCTGTCACAAGTGCAGATCTGGAACTTTGCAACCATGCTTTGGTCTGCAAGGACAAACTGTGCTAGCAAAACAGCAGATCCTGCTTCAAATCCTACCCTGGGACTCTGAAAGAATCAGAGGTTTATAGGGTTAGGGAGATACAGGGTCGCTGCTGGCTGCTGGAATATATACTGACATTGTGGGTACAAATTTAAGTGCCGACATTTGAAGATTTGCATGTTTTTGCCTGACTTGGATTGCTGGTTAAGACAGACGTGCAGCATCTACCCAGAGCTGCCCAATGAATAGCTGAATCACACAAGCTGTCTTGGGGTCAGATTTTGGTAAAGTTCCTTGAATGCATGAATCTACTGCGATGTGATGCTGTAAAAGAGCCATCAGGGTACTGGGAGTGACTTTGTTAGAAAGTTTTAGCCTTAATAGCATTCCTCTGCCTTTGTGAAGGACTTCTTTTCTTTCTTTGTAAATGATATTAATTCTAGATAAAACTGCATGGCATGCAAACAGATCTCTATTTAGGTTTATCTTGCAAGTCAGGTGTAACTTTGTGCCACCTTATGATGAGAGAACATGTAACAAGATTAATCTGGCCTTGAAAATTATTTGAGCCTGGAATGTCTATTACAGTTCAAGTGAAACTCGACTGGTTAAAATATGTAGTGGCTAAAAGCCATGAATAGTGTAAAATACCAAGTTCATGGAACAAATATGGTGTTTCCAGCTCCACTTTTAAAGTTTCTTTGACTCTGATATTCCAGTATTGTCCATTACAAGTTCAGTCGAATGATCTTGTACCTTGCACGAGGCAGTAGCATGATGGGTGTCTTGGAAACGTGATATATGCAGCCTACAGAAGAGCCCTGTGTTTTGGGGTGCAGCCAGAGGCCAAGTTTGTGGGATTGACTCTGGTGGCTGTCACTCTGGAAATCTGGCTTCCATAATTCTGAAGCATTTTGCCTCCAAAATTTCATGATTGAAGCATTACATGTTGTTGCATGGAGTTGTTATCAGGGCACTGGTTCAGCTTTCCTACACCATTGCGGTTGTGCATGTCGAGTGTACTGCCAACTGGGGCATTCCTTTTCTCTTAAAGAAACGAGACAGAGTCTTGTTCAGGCTTGACTGATAGCAACCACCTGTAGCCATTAAGTGCAATAAGGATACTAATGTGTCTCTTCCACCTAGGCCAGTGATCAAGCAGCTATATACCACGTGGAGGGAGCTCTTGGCTGCATGCTTTCCTTTCCTCTAAGAGCTCTATACCTGTACGGGTTTTCCTGCCACATGCTGGTAACAGCATTCATAGCACTTACCTTGTGCTTTGTGTGTTCAAAGCATTTTACCTGCACATAAGTGGATTTTATCCTTCTAGACTTTGGAATAGAAATAAAATGTGTACAGAAAAGTAAACACTTTCCAAAACAAATGTACTAGAATACCTTTCATAACGTTTTCTGTGTGATGTTACATATATGAGATAGACCAGCACTTCAGGATAATACCTGCAAAAAAATTACTTGTAGTGAAGATTCAGTTCTTCTGAATTTGTGTTTGTAAACCCTTCCCCCCCCCCTCTTTCTGTCAGGGGTTAGAGCAGAGCTGACTTGGAAGTGACAAACTTAAGCTTTGCCCATTTTTCTTTTCCCTGTTCTGCAGAAGTAGCACAACTATAGGGACTCAATGTGGTTGGCACAAAAGTTTGGGATCATTGCTAGATTCAGATTCAGTCTTCATTTACCACCACATGGGAAGCAACACAGGTGTGAACTGAAGGTTGAATCTGGTAATCATATCGGACCTTAAAGTGTATTTTGGAACCCAAGACAACTTTCGAGAACTGGCAGCTGCAGAAATAACACTGTACTATTTGCAAGCCATGAGCAGTCACTCTGGAAGTGACCAAGACAGTCATACAGATGTCATCGTTTGCATGGGTCAGAAAACAGATATTGTATTTCATTAAATAGCTTGGAGGCTTTTGTGGGGGAAAAAAACCATCCTGAACTGAAAGAGAAAATAAAAAGCCAAAAGTTTAATAGGGAATTTGGGACTGAGGAAGTAGGGGAATACATTATAATGAGTCAATACTTTTTTACTTGGATTTTGAGCATTTAGAAAACCCAGACCTATCTTTTTGGACGTCAGAGTTGGACAGATTATGTATTAAAATAACTTTTTTTTTCCTAGGTGAGGTGGCATCAAAGTGATAGCTGTTTGTTGATTTTTTCTTTTTTTATAAGTCTTCAAATACCATTTTCCTGCAGAGAAGGGATTTAATAGGTTTTGCTACTGTTGTTTATAAAAAGCTGTATTTAAAGGCTTTTTTTTTTCATTTTTTTTTGTACAAGAAGCTTTTGTGATAAGACATATCTTTAGGTCTGTATGATCTATATTGCTCTATAGTCTTGCTGCTAACGTGCTTGTTAGAGAGGGTATGAGAATCAGGATTCTTTTGGGGCAAGGCATCTCTCTGTGGTAGCCTGAGCTCTGTCACTCTCCCATCCTGAGACAGGAGAGCAGTGCTTTCCTGTGGAGCCAACAGGGAGGAAAAGTTTGATCTAGCTAGGTTTTTACATCTGGGACTAGTTTTATAACTTTCCCTTTATATTTTTGGTACAAACAAATAACACGATCTCTATGTGTTTTGATGGTTTTAATATGTTATAGTGCATTTCAAAATGAAATACATTCTTAAAGTGCTGATGAAGCTAAAATAAAGAATTCTTGCACAAAAGCAGCAAATTTTCTTACTGACGTAAAGAATATTGTGCAAAGATCAGCCTTGTGGTATCTAACAAACAGCAAACAAAACAAAATCATCCTTACTGAGGGTGCATTTAGTCATAGAGAAAATTGACCTTGTATTGCACAGTGGGACAAGAAGGCATACGTTGATTTTGAATACTCAAATGATAGAAGCATTCAGAAAGGGCTTGACCAAACCACAGTAAATAAATTATATTAATTTATGTTATGTTATGCTAATCAGCCTCCTGATGCAAGGCAAGTGGAACCAGGCATCTGGAGCAGTATTCTCACAAACCATTTTATGCATTTATCCATAAAGCAGTCTAGTGCTTTTCTTCATTATTTTCTGCTTGGAGATACAAGCTTGCTTGGCCCACAGTCTGAGACTATTGGTGTGCACCAGCTCTGTATCTGGCTGTCTGCCATGAATACATCAATTAGGCTTAATTAAAAGCCCTATAAAATGGATTTTTTATTAGGTTGGGCTCAGTGCTCCCCACCAACCAAATGACATGACTGTACGTTATCTGGTCCAGAGCAGATTCAGTCCAGACGAAGCAATGGCACACTGTATTTCTGCCTGCCTGCCTTCCTGCCAAGGATATATAGACACACCATATGCATATACACCTACCCATTTGGAATGGGGGCTCAGATCTGGCCCATTTAATTAAGACACGTGTTTTGGACAGGTAGGATAAATTGCTCTCCAGAAGTGCCAGTCTCTCGTCATTCATTGTAATGACTTGAGATTAGGCACTTGATTTGTAGACTGCTAGAGGGTAAATGAAGTGAATCCAACCCATAACTCAAGCTCCCAGCCAGACCTTGTGTGTGTAAAAAGATGCCTCTAAAAGGC